GCACTCCCAGGGGAAACCCGAGCATAAACACCAACAGATCGGCATCACTGGACGCAACCCAAACTCAATCAAATCGAGTAGAGAACGTTCGTCTCTGACAACCACATTACGGGCCGGCCAGACAGCCTCGGCATCAAACGGGGAAAGCCGCTATCAAAACCCAAGAGAGGAGACAAAACCCTCACGCACTAATCGAGTACGTATTTTTAATATTGTTAAAGTTATTTTCGATTTCTTTCAATTTTGATATCAATTGAGTATCCATGAATTTTTTTTTTCAATAAAAATTTCTAATCATGAAGTTTCAAAATGAGTTACATAGCCCTTCCTTTGCTACTAATAGAAAACTCAGGGTTAAAATCATAAATTTTCGATGCAATGTTTTCTCATACAACTAACCAAATGGAAACACTCTAAATCACATAAAAATAAGCTATTCACTCCATAGATTAGGCATACATTGTTCAAATGGTAATAATAGAGCAAACATCTTAAATGAAACTAGTGCATTGCAACCGCAATTTAACATGTATATGTGGAGCAGTGTTTCTCCCACACACGAAATGCACAAGGTGAAAGAAAAGCTTTCTTACGTCTTGCTAAACTACAATTGCGAAACAAATTTATTCTCAATTCGCCATCTTTGCTACCTTCATTGAAGAAGTCACCTAAGTCTACCTCAAACCAGCCATCTTCCCTCTGCTGTGGGTGCTTCTCACCACCATCTCCTAGAATTCTTCTTGCCTGCACATATATAGTTCTTGAAAACCTGCCTCATTTAAGTCGTTAACTACATTTTGCACACCGTTCCCCACTAGATGTAGTTCGTTTGTCTCCTTTACCAACTTGCTAACTGAATGTTCTGAACTAACTGTTTCATTTAGTGTTAGCTTCAATATTTTTGAACTTCCCCGAGAATTAATTATCCCTGTAGTTCCACTTTTCTCCTATGAAAATCATGTATCTTAGCAAAATTTTCAGATGCTAGGAATCATCTGGATATTGCAGATGTTAATGCATATCTCCACTAACTGAAATAACATCAGATAATTAGGAGATAGTTACCAAATATACAGATTTGATATTCCTGTGGCGTCCATCTAGATGGTTTATCATTCTTTGGATTATAACAGCAACATTTCTGACATGGCATAATCATAGTCACTTGTTAAAATAATGTGACATGTGGTATTATCAAACAACTTTGTAATTTATGGTGTAAACACATTGATGGAAACAAAATCTTATTATTTGTTTACTACTAACTGGCCTGATCTCTATGCCTTGAATAATGAGACCATCATTCCAGTGACGACCCAACTGCAAAATACTCATTTCCTATTCGTTGCCTTTGCCTCCAGTATCTCTGTCTCCATTCTTTGTCTCTATCCAAAAACACAGTTCATTTACGACCTTCAGTTCAAACAAGTCCAACATTTACCTCTACAAGCTGGTACTCAAATCCACAAGCTGTCTTTGTTGCCTTGAACACAAGGTAAGCTTTATAAAGTGTCAGATAAGGGGTTTTTTGCCACTCTTAAAGAATTTAGGGGGTTGTTTGCTACCGATTTAGGTTGAGCGGCTAATTTGTGTCTTCTTTCTCAAATGCCTATGTTAGAAGGTTTTAGGTCAAAAAATAAAAGACATAACTTATGAGCATTATTTTCTTGTTATCTTTTCATTTACTTATACTCCACCTTTCATTAGTTTTTCCTACAATGCTGTTCAGCTCACATATTTTATTATTATACCTATCTATCTACCTATATTCAGCCTCACTTTCTTGCTCTATATATATATATATATATATTAACAATTTGTTTGTTGTTATTTTTTCTCCCCTTATCCTCCCACTTATTAATTTTTCCAGTGAAACCATCTTTTAATTTTTCGTCTCACCTCTGTTCCTCTAAACTATGTCTGCCCTTTCCCTTTTTTTTTTTTCTGATAAGCCTGCCCCTTTCCCTTCTATATTAATAATTTGTTTGTTATTATTATTTCTTTTTATCCTTGCCTAATAGTATTCTTACTTAGTTACCCCTTGCATCTTCATCTATTATTATATCTCTTTTTAACCCAATTTTCTCTCTCTATCTATCATTGGATATTTTTTGTTTTCTTAAGATTGCAATAATTTTAAATATCAGTGAATCACAAATAATGTACTAATTTGCAATAAATTTATAAACATATCCACAAAGTTATAAGTTTTAACCAATAAAAGATATAAAGCGTACATTATCTCCCTCCTTTTCCCTCCTTATATTACTGAGTTATTCATCATTATTCTTTTTCTCATTATCCTCTCATCTCTATCCTTCTTTTTTAGTTATTCCTTTAAATTTTTCATGTATCAAAATATATCTATTTTTTTACACCATTTTTTCTGTGTTGATACTTTTTTCACTTACCTATGCTTCACCTTTCATTAATTTTTCTTGGGATTCCATTTCTTAGCTCTTATTCTCTCACATTTTGCATTTATCTGTTACTCAACATTTGCCCTCATCGTCTCTCTCTCTCTCTCTCTCTCTATATATATATATATTAATAATTTGTTTGTTATTATTTTTTCTCTTCTTATCCTTATTCTCTCAATATTATTCTTTCCTAGTCACTTCTTGCATTTCTATTTATT